AAATACTTTCCCTTGTGATGGATGTGGTTTATGGAGGACACTATAGAAGATGCCCTCTGGTTCAGATGCTTGGCACTCCATCTTTTTTTTTTCACTCTGTCACCCAGGCTGGAGTGCAGTGGCACAGTCTTGGCACACTGCAACCTCTGCCTCTTGGGTTCCAGCTATTCTCTTGCCTCAGCCTCCCAAGTAGCTGGAATTACAAGCATCCACCACCATGCCCAACTAATTTTTCGTATTTTTAGTAGAGATGGGGTTTTGCCATTTTGACCAGGCTGGTCTCGAACTCCTGACCTCAGGTGATGAGCCTGCCTCGGCCTCCCAAAGTGCTGGGATTACAGACATGAGTGACCATGCCTGGCAGGTACCCCATCTTTCTGATCCAAGGTTGATCCAGGAGAATACAGTGACATCTTGAGACATCATGTTAACTTAAAAAAAAGTATTACCAACTACAGAAGTCCCTATCCATGGTTAAGACTCATATTTTATTTTTACCATCTTGACCCAGCTGATCTACTTCAGACCACATGAGACTATATTCCCCAGCATTTGATATCTAAAATTTAAAACATATAGAACATTTGAATAAGTATACAGTGGAGGTCCAAATACCCACCACCTCAAGTCTTTAACTGTTTTATTTTCTCGCCAACCTGTGCCTCTATTCATCCATTAATCCATTTTAATTGTAACCATTGTTGCTTTTCACCCCTAAACATTTCAGGATGCATTTCATTAGCTAGAGTTTAATACTTTACCGTTTTTGTTAAGGTAAAATTTACCTATAGTGAAGTGTACAAAGCTTAGTGCCACTCACCAAGTTCTGACAAATGCATACTCCATTTAACTCACATCCCTATCAATACATAGAATAAAAAATTAAAAATTAAAAAATACAGCATATTCCCATCACCCCATTTCACATTTCCTCATGTGCCTACCTAGTGTATCCTAGCACCAATACCATTCCTGATGCAGCCGCTTCTTTGCTTTTTTTCCCACTACAGTTTTGCTTACTGTAGAATTTCTTATCTATGGAATCAAGCAGTAGGTAACACAGTAAGTTTGTGAGATTCCTCCATGCTGTTGAATGCCTATTTAATTTTATTACTTTTTATTGCTGAACAGTATTCCATTATATAAGTATATCTTAACTTGCTTATTTACTCTTCTCTAGATGGACATAAGGGCTGGTGAGTTTTTGCCATTATGAATAAAGCTGCTAGAAACAGTCTTGTATGGGTCTTCCTTTTTTATTTTTTGACTTATAGGTTAATGCCTAAGAATGTAACTGCTAGATTCTCAGTGCCTGTTTCAGTTTTATAAAAAAAAAAAAAAAAAAAAAAAAAAACTTTTATGCTTTTTCCCAAAGCGGTTGTTCCATTTTACACTCCCACCAAGAATGTATTCTCCACATTTTCACCAATACTTGGCACAAATTTTTAGTTTTAGTCATGCTGGCAGCTGTGCAGTGGAGACTGTGGTTGGGGTTCATGGAGACTCACATTTCTATTATTGCCCCCACTAGCTCCTGTTCTTCACAGTAATGAGCCCTCTCACCCAGGGATTTTATCTCAGAAGGGGAGAGAGTTTCTAATTCCGTGGCTTATTTCTTCGAAGACCCCAACAGCAGAGAACTTCATCTACTATTTGTTCAATTCCTCTGTCTTGCTTAGGAGGAAAAGTTTTAAAAGTATTCAATCATCAAACTAGATCAGGCAAATGAATTCAACGTTGCATTTTGTTTTGTGATATATTTTGAGGCAAAAAAAAAAAAAAAAGAATCTCTAAATCTTAGCCACTGTCTCTCTTTCCAGCAACATATAAAACCTTAACATTATTCAAGAGAAGAAAAGTTCCCAATACTCAGACTCAACCTGTTTTCCTTCCCACTCCCCTAAGAACCTCTCTTTAGGTGATCATGACCACCCTGTCAGGCAGGACTGAGGTCATGGAGAAGGTAACCGTGCCTGAGCGGAGAGCCTCAAACACAGGATGTCGCGATACAAGTTCCAGTACAAGTTCCCCTGGCAGGCGGCGACCCTGTGGTGGACCCTGCAGCAGGGCTCAGGCTGCCGAAGGCTCTCCCTCTGTGGTGGGGAGCTGTGCACTTGACTTGCAGCTTCCGCCCTTCCCCACTCACAGCTCCATTCCTCTCCTGGCTCCTGTCCTCTCTCCTTCTCCCCCTCTTCCTTCCAACTCTTCTCAGTTACCTCATAAAACTCATGTCTCCTCATTCTTTCTCTTGTTCTCTTCCATATGGGAACTAAAAATGTATCCCAAGCTTGCCACATAACTGTCGAGTGCCATAATGAAGCGAGACATAATGAAAAACCAAGGCCATCAACATCTAAAGCCCTTGAAAGTCCCAAGAGGTCCCTTTCAGAAGCTCCACAAAGGAAGCTTCTACTTTCTCATCCCTTCCTAATTAAACTGGCTTTTCCTCAAGTACCAGCATTCTACAGAGACAAAAAACTTTTGTCTTCACTATTGGATTTCTGTTTTAATTAATAGCATCACAGCAGCATTGTTTTCTCTTACTTCAGTTGCAAAGATACAACATGTCAGTTACATTTTAAGTTATATTGCAATGCTATGCCTATGGCAAACCACATACTAAATGCCGAATAGACTTAAACTTATGGAATAAAATCAATTTCTAAATTAAGATTTGCCTTTTTTTCCTATTTGGCTTTAAATATTTGTTTCCAGAATTTCATCTTTAGCATATTTTCTTTTATATAGATATTTATTAAGATATAATAGTTCCATCCTCAACATCACAGTTTTTCATGTATTATAGGTATATAAACGTAAAGGATACACTATACTGACTCCCGTATTATAGATGAGGAAACTGAGCTTGAGAAAAGTTTCATAACTCACAGCTCTTTTTTTTTTTTTTTTTTTTTTGAGACAGAGTCTCTCTCCCAGGCTGGAGTACAGTGGTGTGACCTTGGCTCACTGCAACCTCCACCTCCTGGGTTCTAGTGATTCTCCAGCCTCAGCCTCCCAAGAGGATGGGATTACAGGTGTGCACCACAGAGCTTGGCTAATTTTTGTTATTTTCAGTAGAGAGGGGGTTTCACCATGTTGGCCAGGCTGGTCTTGAACCCCTGACCTGAGGTGATCCATCTACCTCAGACCCCCAAAGCACTGGGATTACAGGCATGAGCCACTGTGCCCAGTCAGTAACTCACAACTATTATAATAAGTGGCAGAGCCTGAATTCACACCTTCGTTTTTTGGCCTCCAGCTGCTATTTTCTCAAGCACCATGCTGTATCTCTCCTCTGTATTGCCTGGTACCACCCACTACACAAAACAAGGCTTCCTAGCATGGGCTTGAATAGACCAGGACTGTGTGATTCACATCCTCATCATTCTCTGCATCTCCATCATATTCCTAAAAATTGTTCAGACTTTACCTGATCTCAGAAAGACAGGAAAAGAGGTTGGCAAAAGTACAGAAGGCAAAGTAGTAAATCCAGACAGATCTCTAGTAAATTCAGACCTATTTTGGAAACAAATTGGTATCCAGCAAAAAGACTCTAGCTCTGCAATTAATAATAAGCATCTATTATGCATTCTAAATAGCTCTCACCTGGCTCTGAGTGTCAACATAGAATATGGCTGATAAACCCAGTTTATTCTGTTATCCAAAGTGCTGGGGCATTCCTAATTTGCCCTAATGGTTATAGTACAAGTTGACTAACAATATACTCCCATTCAGCAGAGCCTCTGTGGGCTACAGCACGGTTCAGGGCAAATAAAGAGTTTGGTTGTAGGAGCTGACTCTTTTCCAGTGGTGCTCCTAGTTCTTCAGCTGCTCCTGACACACGAGGCCTGAGTCCACTGACTCTTTCAAACTGCCACAGATATATGGATTTCATCCTTCTTTCAATAACAGTTTGGTGTCCATGGAGGGCATGTTCCCTAGCCCTCCACTCTACTCCCTTCCAGTTTACCTTCCTGACTTGAAAGACTAGAAATTCAACAACATTTCAGACTCTCTTGCAGCTAGCATTCCAGATACAAATTACATCCTCCAATTAGGTGTAGTTGCATGAGGTCCAGAAGGCAGAAGCAAAAGAGAAACCATATTTCTGCTCCCCTTTCAAGCTGTTTTGCTGAAAAACAAGATCGTAAAAAGGTAAGCTACCTTGTTAACAGCGTGTTCCTAATGTTCAGTCTCTAACTTCCCAGATGATGAGAGGCTGCTGAGGCAACTGAAAACAGCAGCTTTTTGCGTCTGGCTTTCTGAACCTTGGACTACAGCTCTGGGGTATACCTCGAACTCCTCTTTCCAGTGCTCATCTCAGACGTGGTAGCTCCCCTGGTGAGCCAGTCCTGCACTGCCCCATATCTGCCCCCTTTACTTCCTTCCTCTGTCACCACCACAACCATTAATATTTCCTGTGTGTTCACTATGTGGTAGGCACTATACTAAATGCTTTCAATAAGTCATTTTATTTAAGCTCCAGAACAACTCCATCAGGAAGGTACTATTAATATCTTTGTGTGTGTGTGTGTGTGTGTGTGTGTGTGTCAGATGAGTTAGCTGCACTCTGAAAAGGGATAAATTACACAGGATCAGATCAAAGCTAGTGGTTAGGTAGAAGGTAATGCTAGAATTCAACCCCAGATCTGCCTGACTCCAAAGCCAGAGCTCTTTTTCTTTAAAGCTAGAGGGCCTATGACATATTAGCAGGTTTTAATTGCCCACATACATTATGTTGCTAAAAATGCTGTCCATTCTTTTCCTTTAAACAATAAAGATGCACAGGCCAGTCTATTGTCCAGATACATCTAGATAGCAAAGAAGTCTAATTCAATAGAGAACCATTTAAAAATCCAGAGGTATCTCTTTGTGAAAGCTTGCCTAAGCCATAACAAGATCATTTTTACAGTAAAAATTAAAGAACTAAGATGAAAGCAGACAGAGCTTTCCACTTGCATCTGGAAGGACCAGAGCTGGGAGAACAAACTCACACTTACCAGGTGCTCGGTTAACAGCGAGGTTTCGGAAATGGCTGCCTTTGATCATTTCCACGGATAATCGCCCCGTTGTGGCATTGTACGAGAGCCCCACCAACAGCTCTGGCGCCCCTCCATGAGACAGTGACTGCGTGGATGAAGTACTATCACTGTGAGAAACCGCAGATGGGCTGAGCGGAGACCCTCCACTCTGGAGGGGAAGAACAACAAAGAATCCATTGGCCCACACTGCACTACTCTCTTTCAGAGAAAGCCGATATTATGTTTGGTGAAATTGTGACCCAATCCCCAACGACTGCCAAAGATGACTAAGGGTGCACTCAGTGTGAATTACAATGCGCCCAGGGAGCACAGTCATGGATGAGATCCCTGCATTAGGAGCTGACATATTTGTTTCAAGAGCTGTCTCCATTCAAAAGACAAAACGGACAAAGACGTTATTACTAGTGTAAATCAAACCGTCTAAGATACACAGAGAGCTAATAATACATTTAATATAGACTCAAATTCCCTCCTGTGTAATCTGTGCTTGGATGTTTCTAAGGAACCCCTCCACTCCAGGCCTGAGGTTTGTTTCTGTTCTCTGCAGCTCCTTGATGAATGCAGCAATACAGGACATACTGTGTCTAAACTATGAAAGAAATGACCACTGGACGTCTACCCCCACATAGAACATTTGGCTCCTAGCTCTGCTTGAGGCTGTTAAGTATATGCCAGGTGCCAAATTTTGCCTTTTAAAGAAATAAGTTACATTACAAATGAGTACTTTCACAACTGTTTGAGAAAAAAGCCAACGCATGGTTGTGGATCTCAGCGACTTGACAGGCACCAAGTGAGCCCAGGAGAACGTGAGCTTTCCATCATGTTTATTCATGGGTACACTTCTCCTGAGCACTACCCTTCCCCACCTGGCACGGGCACGTCAGGAGGAGGAGAGCAAAACTGAGCAGGACACTGATTGTCACTCGAGGCATGGGGGTAGGAATCAGCCCTGAAACACCACCTCCTCCACCAGAAACAAGGGCATTAGACTCGGCTTAAGCCTTTCTTCTCAATGTCTGAAATCATTTCTTCGAACTTCTGACCAGAAACTCAATAATTAGAACCAATAAAAGCAATCAAATATTCTGCCCATCTGCAGCAAAGTATCCTGTTTACCAAACCACAGACATGTCTGCAGACCACCCCCACATGCCCCCCAGGCTTTTATGGAACACAATTTGTACATGGCAGGGCTAGGTGATTGTGATAGATGCCTTATACAGCCTGCTGTCTGGAAGATAAAAATTCAACCATGAAATATTTGCTTACTTTCAAGTGAGACTCACTCCCACTCCTGTGCTTCTGTAAAAGCTTCCCACTGTGGCACCTGTCACTCACTGCTTGCTTCTCCCATTAGATTCTGAATCTGTATAAATCTGAGTCCCTGGTACATCACCTAATGCCTGGCACATAACTATGCTCACCAAATAACTGGTGAATGAAAGATTTTCACCTGCAAAGTTATTTTACACTAGCTCATTTTCCCCATTCAACTCTGTGCCACCAGCACACAGCACAGGGCCTGGCAAGGAGAAATATGGGTGTGATCATCCCCATTCCCAAGCTCTATCATGCTCTATCTTCTGACTTCCTGTGCATTCTGTTCTCCATCATTTTAAATGTGCTTTATTTGGATATTAAGAAAAAAGGGCACAGATGAGACATCATCTGGCTCATGCTTTAAAAGGCTCATTCTGCTCCCATGTCCAGAAGAGTCCATAGACACAAAAGCAGAAGTGGAAAGACCACCGCTGAGCGGCTATTTCAGTAATCCAGCCGAGAGCCAGGATCTGGTTATACCTGAAGATACAGCCAATAGGATTTCAGGTGGAAAACAGAAAAGTCACAGATGCCTTCTAAGATTTTTGACCCTAGCAATTGGAAGAATGAAACTGCCTTTAAGCAAGATGGGGAAGACTGCAGGTGGAATAGATTTAGGGAGGCAAAAATCAGGATTTCAAGCTTGAAGATGTTAACTTTGAGACATCATTAGGCATTGAAGCAGACGGATCTGCCATCAGTACTCTCCGGCCTTTCTGGCTCCTTAGCTCTTCCTCAGACATGACAACCCCCCAACCTCCACACCCTGACTGCTTGCATGTGCTGTTCCCTCATCTGAAACCCTCATCTTCCACGTCACCAGCCTTGCTCCCTCGATGCCATGAGTTCCGGCATCTGACAGTTCCTTCATCACCATCTCGAAGAAACTGTCTCTGACCCTCTAAACAAGCAGCAGCCTGTCGCTCTCCTTTCCTACTTGGCCACCACTAGACTGCAAGCTCTCCAAGGACAGAGGCACCGCCTGCTTAGTTCTTTCCTGTATCCACTTTGCCTCTACCATAACTAACAGTAAACATCTCTGAATGAATGAATGATTGGCCCCCAAGCCTCGATGGCTCCCTGATCTTTTGATATGGTTTTCTAAAAGGAGATCTGCGTGCTAAATGACATATAACCCACAGCAGTAGTGGGCTGCTCATCCTGTAGACATGCAAATTATGACACCTTTCCTTGAAACCCTGAGGCAAGCAGGGAAATGGGGTATGTGGGAAGAGTATAGTAATATAAATCACAGATTTCAGAAGCAGCTGGAGTTCCGGGCTGCTATCCCAGTCTGCCCCAGCATACCTGTTAAGAACCTTGCCCAGAAAGTCCCATCTCTGAGATTCATGATGCAAACTAGGGGCAAGAGAATGGATCGCTTATCCACAAACCAGAAGGCCAAGCCACCTTCCCAGTTTTTTTCCATGCCCTCTACTACATTGCTGCCATCTTGTCCTTAAATGGACAGGGCATTTATCCATCAGGTTATCAGGAAGGCAGGCATGAAAGACCCATTGTACCATGAAGTGCAAATCATGGCTTACAAGGGTGAGGAGAGCCAAATGGAAACTTAAATTAAAGTCTCTGAATTCATAGACTGAATGTACTAAATCAAGGGCTGACAACCCTAGGTCTTCTAACACATCACATCATTAGCAGCACCACTTAACATACTCACGCTTATATTACTTCTTGGCTCCAGAACCAGAGTCACTTTCATTTCCCCTTCTGGGTGCAGGTGGCTGAGATAGAACAGCTTCTCTCCCATCATTCTCTCTCGGGTCATCTTACGGGCAGCGTACAGGCGGAAGCGGACAGCACAGGCGGCCACATCTCTGGGCTCCAGCTTGGCGAAGGTGACCTTCTCCTTGAAGACGGGGTTGGGCCCTCTCTGTATGTTTGTCCTGCCCCTCTGTTTCTTACCAGGCAGCAGCACTACATGAACTTGCCAGGAGTTGACACCACTTCGGTCCTTATCTGGGAGGCCCTGTGCTCTCACAATGGTCACTGTGAGCTTCTGGCTGGCAGCTCTATATTCAAAGACGACATCTAGGTCACCACACTTTGAGATGGGCACTGAGACCCCGGATGGCACCTGCAAATGGGTCCTGTCGTGTTCCTGTTGCAGGCCGAAGAAACAATTAGAAATGGAAATGATGATACCCAATTACACTTTGGCCCACTGGTGCCCCATTGTGCTCCTTCAGAATCCCTGCTTTCTGACTGCCAGTGTATTCCCTCTATATCAGATAGGTCTGTTTATTGGTCTATCCCTGCATTAAACTGTGAATTCTTTGACGGCACAGTGCCTAGCATATGGTGCGCCTTCCTGGGTGTTTTTGGAATGGATAACTAAAGCTTTTATATTTTGCAAAGTGTTTTCATATATACTGCTTCTCAAAAAGCACAATTGCCCAGGATCATTGAAACCAACTGAGATGCTAAATCTAAAAGTAAGTCAAAAGGCAATTGTCCATAGGCAACTTTTCCTTGTGTCTCCAAATACAGGTGGTCGAGCCTGAGCCTGTTCTCTACAGGCAAGAGCGTTCTACAGACAGGAATACTGATGGCGGTCTCAGGAAGGTGATACTTGAGTATATTTTCAATCTATATGGGAGAAAAGGCTTGGGGCTGAGATTCTCAAACTTTAATGTAGACCTGAATCATCTGAGGATTCTGATTCAGTAGGTCTGGTGTGGAGCTTGAGATTCTGCCATTTCTGGGATGTGTGCAAAAGATGTTGTTGCTGCTAGCCTCGGCTCTCCCTTTGAGCAGCAAGGGTTTAGGAGGACACGTCTGCAGCCCTTTAGTAAACGGCAACATTGAGCCTGGAGCCAGCACACCTAGATTAAAATCATAACTCTACCACTGACTAGCTCTTTCACCCTGGTCAAAGAGACCATCCTCTCTGTGTATTCTAGCTTTAAAATGCACATTAATGTGCCTACTTGCTAGTGTGTTGTTGTGAGGTTTTAATTGATGTGAAAATCAGATCACACTCAATAAATATCTATTCCCACCACTCGACTGGTGCTACCAATTCTCAAACACACATCTCTCTATATGAAATGTCACCCTTGGGCAGCAATTTACTTGCAGCCACTCAGATCTGATGACCTTCCTGGGAAAACTGAGCTGAACTACATTTATTATAATGAACCACCTGACCAACAAATTATAAATAATGTCAATAATAATTCTGTTTTTCCTCTGAAGGCAGGATCCTTACCTGTAACCAAACCTTGAACTGATTCTTATTGCAAATCAGTTCTTATTTATGCAATTGAATACCAGACCTTGCTAATTTAGAGATCTCCTCATTTCAAAATCATAACAAAATGCCTCAAAATGTGTATCCATCAGTGAAACTTCCCCACAAAGTCCAGGTGAAAGTTCACAGTTCTTAGGTTCATATATCCTGAGGAAGCCCAGGCCTACCGGTTACTAGCTCAATGACACTGGGCAAGTTATTTAATTCTTTCCATGTTCTATTTTCCTCAATTGTAAAATGGAGATGGAACTTTCTGTGTAGGGATGTTGTAAGAAGTAGAGGACTTGACAGATAGTAGACATCTAATAAATACTCTTTTCTTTTAAAATTCAAATTAGCCGACAAGAAAATTTAGATTTCTTTTAAAATAAGGGAAACTTCTTATATCTTTCCCTCTGAGCATGCAATCATGCGTGAGTGTTTCTATTCAGAGGTACTTAGTTTAAAGTGATAAAAGTGGTTGCTATAGAGACTTTTGAATACAACAGACTAGTATATATACATATATATATATATTAGAAGCAAGTCTCCAAGGATTTAGGCCAACTCAAAAATCAAGTCAGAATCTTCTCTGAAACTCCCTTGTCTCTTCCTAAAACTCCCATCTATTTTAGCCTACTCTTGATCATCTCTGTATTGCACATCTGGCCATAAGTAATAATAGCCAACATCTACTAAGCCATTTTCTTATGCCAAGTACCATATCAAATCCTATATAGACTATAAAAACTGGCTCTCATATACTTCAGATCTTCTTGGCCTTACCCCATGTTCCATCTTCCCCTAAGGCACAGCTTATCTGGGCTCTAAGTAGTTTCAGCCTTGAACAACTCAATAAAGTCTTACCTTCTATGCATACAATATAATTCTCATCTCTTATCATTGGTCCCTCTGCCAACACCAAGGCTTAGACAGCTGCAGAATCCTGCTTGACACCAATGTATGTAAAGTCTACTTTTGGCCCCATGGTCAAATTTCTTATCAGTTCATACAGCTTCTTGGAGTGTGGTCACACGAGATCAAGTAATAAGCCATACTGAGTGGTGCCAATTCCACTGTGTGCTCTCATACTGGATCTCCCTTCTTTCCTGCCTTACTTACCTTGTCGCCTACTTTTGTTCCCTGGGGTTGCACTCCCAAAGTAGGGAACAAAGCCTTTACTTACACTCAGCTTTTCTGAGAAACGCAACTAAGAAACATTATCTTTTTGAATATTTAAATTAATATAATGAGGTATTTAATATTCTCATTTTTATGGAGGAGGAAACTAAAGCTTAGAAAGACTAAACAACTAACACACTCTCTTCTTCAAGCCCAGATCATATTCCCAGACAAGATTATCCAGGACTCATTCCCTGGCAGTTTGAGTCCTGGGCCTGCCTTAACTAGTATTCAATACTCAAAATCCTAAACCTGATTTTGAACCAGAAGATCTCCTTTCTTCTCCCCCAAACCTTTAGGCATAATTATTTACATATATACATTGAGCGCACAAGATGAAGAGGGGAGAAGATGGAAGGTGGGGGTTGGAATCACACTCTCTGTGATTTTCACATCCTTTTAGGCCCCTGCTCTTAATGTTAGTTAATAGCTCTTAGTTTTGTCAACTTCAATGCCAAGATAAAAATATTTTAGTGAATGAGGAGCTCTCTCCACTTATGCATCAGGCTATCTCTTCAGATAAATGCTCACTCCACCTGCAGGTTTCTGGAGGGGCCTGGGCAGAGTTCCTGACTGTCCTAAGAACTCCTCTGAATAAGGCACAGCTCTGGCCAGTCCAAGCTGTGGCCCATGAAAACTGGGGTTTGTGGCCCCTCCCTGGGTTGATTTGAGAAAAAATTTGTGAATGTTGGTATTTTCAAAGCAATTAATTATTTCGACACACTTTACCTCTCACTAGGCAACTGAAGGAGCTCCTCATGTGGGTACTGTTAATACCACTAATCCATCTGACCTTCCTGCAAGGTAAAAATCTCTTCATTCTTATCCCCATTTGGCAGATTTTAATTAACTTCTCAAGGCCAACCAATTAATCAGTGGAAAGCAGAGATGAAAAGTGGGACACCTGTCTCCCTGTGTGCTCAAAATCACCAGCCACACTCCCATCGTCTTTCCTGCCAAGTCCTGGGTCTGCAGGAAAAAGCCAAAGGCCTTTTTGCCAGCAGAGAAGAGCAGAGCTCGAAAATCCATCAGCTTAACAGGTAGTCACACTGCACGACCGGTTTCCTTCTGAGACAAAATAAATGATTCCTTGAGCTCTAATATCCTGGACTTTTCTTTAAGATGAGAATACTTGTGTCAAGTTGTCAAAACCAATGTAGGTTTAAAGATTTTCTGTCAAATTGAAAGCCTTTCTGTTTTAGTAAGATAGTGTTGATGTCATCTGCGTGGCCTAAAGTAAACAGACCTACAATATGCTCCCGATGCCAGATACACAGGGGAAGACAGAGTTCTCAATACAGCTAAGAGGCAAATAAATCAATTCTTAAAAGGCAAGCTGAGCCTGCAAAGCAGGCAGTTACGGGAACTGCGTCCATGTTGGATTTGAAGTTCTACTGTAGGAGCACCAAATTACAATTTTTTCCTCAAAATAGACAGGAAGTTGAATGGAGCACACAGAGATGTCTGGGTATTTTTGGAGTCTGAGAACATTTAGCACCCACTGTACCGAGTCTTCTATTAAAGCTCCAGCAGGCAGGTAAATGGGAGGTGACCTAGAGAAGGCACTTCTAAGCCTCATGGCACAATCATCAAAGGAGACAGAGCATCACTAGGCAGGCAAAGTGTTTGGTCTGTTTTGTTTTTGAGTGAGAGAGTCAAAGTATGTTTTAAATGTTAGTGTGTGGGATTTGACATGGCGCAGTAGTAAACTAATGGGTAAGCAGAGTTTTTTTCTTTTTTCAAACATTTATAAAGTTAATGGCCTTGGGTGCCTCTATATGAAGGGCTCCTTTTTCATAAGCCACAAACCACATATGTGAGCTACCATGTCTGGTCCTCAGCACCAGGGGCACGGATGTGCATGCACACCCCTCCTTACACACTACCTGTATTCACCAACGTGTTAGCCATAAGGCTTGGAAACAGGATTTTTGTTACTCTTTTTTTTCACCTTGAGCATTTAATGTATGTGACATTCCAAGTCCTAATTAGAGATTCCTCCTGTTTATTTTCTCAAACAGATGCTAATAAAATCCATTCACCTTCCCAAATTCCTTCCCCTATCCCTGCAAATTATATTAAAGGCTTATATATGTATGTGACTTATCTCATCAAAATTAATTTCAAATTAGGTATTAAACACCATTCCTTAATGCCTTCCAGTGTCACAGAATCATGATAGGAGTGATCTCTCTAATGGAAAAATAACTGTAAAGGCCCGTAAAATGAAACAATTTTGTAAAATCCTTATCACAGTGCCTGGCATACACTAACTGCTCAGTACATGGTAGCTACTACCATCATCAGCTCCAGTCATATCTCTGGATTGATTGTTAGGTTTATTCTGGACTAAGCTTTACTTGAAAAAGAACTTTGGAAGTATCTTTTTTCAGAGATTTACTCCAAAAAGCAATGTCAATGGCCAGAGGGCCATTAGTGATTAATGCTATCTCCCAGGCCTTCAATTAAATTCAAAGCTAACAAATATATTCACACTGCAAGATCCACAGCATCACACCTTGCATAATTTCACTTGGAAGTTCATTTCATTTTAGTTCAATTTTCAAATAGTTTTCATATTCCAATAATCATAATTTGAGATTTGGGGTAAATAAAAATATACTTCACTTAAAGCATGAAGTAAATAAGCCAGTCACCTTAAAGAACTGGAAATTTCATTATTTAAAATTAAGCCTGTAAAAAGCCTTTATATAAAATAAAAGCCTGGCTGTTCCTGAATCCATTCCGTGACCATTCTTATTCTTCTTTACTTTTTTTTCCACCACTTTCCCCTTTTTTTTTTTCATTTTGAGAGAAATTAATGATTCTTTCATTGACATGCATGGGATTTTGGTCATCTAAAAAAAATTATTTCAGCTAAAGGTAATGCTTCCTTTCTGGAATTTTTTTTTTTTTTTTTTTTTTTTTTTTTTAGTGAGATGAGTACAAAGGAGAGTGGGAAGAGGGCGAATCAATGAAAGAATGAAAAACAAATAACTTGCCTCTGGACTCCACATGGAGGAGCTGTCAGTGGCATAGGAATCTTCAAATCCCCGGCTATTAAAAGCTGTCTCCATCTCCAAGCTACCCTCCGTGGATTGGCGCCTGAGGCTTTGGATCACATTGGACTCTGGGTGAGATGTGCCATGGTGCTTGGCATCCCCCCTCTCACAGGGGGACTGTGAGTGAGCAGGGATGTGGTCATCTTCACCATAGGAGACATTCTCAGAATAACTCCGTTGGCTGGCTCCATCCAAATCTAAATTTGCAATAAGAAAACTATTTCAAATGCATTATTTTTAACACCTTTTTACCTAGAGAAATTGAGCAATTGCAGTCACAACAATCGAGACTGCAAAACAGAACCCATACTAATAACACGTGCAGAAACATAATATCTATACAGTAACATAATATCCATATAGTATATCCATACCGTATATCCATGCAGTGAAGAAACTTGATCCATAAAATGAAAAAGAACATTATCTCATTATATGGGGTATCAGAAGGTTTAATACTTTTTACATGAGTGTAGATAATGTGTATTTATGTCAAAAGGATAAATTAGACACAGCACTTTGCTGGAGCTAATGACCACAAGACTTCTACAATGGATCTAGAAAGCAAAAAGTCATCTGATTTGGAGATCATATGGTCTCCTGACTCTACCATGCTTCCTTTTCTCTTCAGTGTCTACTATGTCATCCTCTGCTCAAAAAGCTTCAGTGACCCTACCAAGTAAAAGGTTCTCTCTCTCCTTGATCCATGGTCTTGGATTGATATGATCTGAGTTTAAATCCTCTCTCTGCCTTAAGAACTTGGACAATATTCAAATTCTCTGAATCTTTGCTTCTTTATCTAAAAAATGATAAAAGCCATCAGAGGGTCACTGTGAACACATGAAATAATATTCACCTGGCAGCCAGCAGGCCTTTCATAAATATTAGCCTACTTATCTGCCTGGCCTGAACTGGCCTCATCCAACCCATCCAACCTCATTTTCCACTGCTTCCCAAGTGACCATTGCCTTATTCCTCTGGTCTCACTAGTTTATGAAAATGCTAGCTGTGTATTTCTGCTCACAGTGCCCTCCCAGTGTCCTTTCCTCCCTGTCCATACAAAGTGCCACCAACTCCTGAGCCTTCCCTGCCTCCTTCAGCCTTCACTTTTCTGTCTCAGCACCCCTCACCCCCATTCATCCCTTTCCACTTCCTACATGTCAAGGTTGTCCTCACATGGTCAGGAAAACCTGGCAGAGTCTTCCTGAGAAATAGCTGCCCCCAGTATTTGCCCCCCACACCCAAAGAGCAGCTGAGGATCTCTTATCTCTTTGGTCTCTTTTCTCCTCCAGCAGCCCCCATCTCAAGATGAAAGGAAATTGCAGATTTAGACAGGACAAGGGAGTTAGATGGCAGAGTCTATGTCATAAAGCTCTTACATGTACACTGTATGGTAGGAACTGTTTTCCCTCATTAGCATTATTCATCCACTATTAATAGAATGTAAGCTCCTAGACAGTACTAAGCCACATACATCTACTGCATAGTCTTTATCTGCCAGTGGGTTATCACTAAACCTTGAGAGAACCTTAAAGTCTAGGTAGATAACAAATATTTACAGCAGCCAGGTATGCAGCAATATGAGTGGTGGCAACAGGGGTTTACTAGAGTACATGACCCATGTATAGCAAGCATTCAAACTTTAAAAATATATTATCAACCAGACCATATAAAAACATCTTCAGGGCTGGGTGCGGTGGCTCACGCCTGTAATCCCAGCACTTTGGGAGGCCGAGGCGGGTGGATCACGAGGTCAACAGATCCAGACCATCCTGCTCATCATGGTGAAACCCTGTCTCTACTAAAAATACAAAAAATTAGCTGGGCACGGTGGCGCGTGCCTGTAATCCCAGCTACTCAGGAGGCTGAGGCAGGAGAATTGCCTGAACCCAGGAGGCGGAGGTTGCGGTGAGAGCTGAGATCGTGCCATTGCACTCCAGCCTGGGTAACAAGAGCGAAACTCCGTCTCAAAAAAAAAAAAAAACATCAGGCAGATCCTCAGAGCAGAACTTCAGACTCCTGATTCGGGGTTTTGCAAAATCACAGCAGGCCATTGAGAAAGTCCCCTATCTGCCTTGTTATCCTTAATTATTCAGTTCAGACCCCTTGGAAACACTCTCATAGGCTATCACAAAATTTTTACATCCAGACTTATTTGGGAAACATACTAAAAACAGGCCACACAAAATGACAGAACAAGAAAAAATCCACATGCAAAAACCTACAACACAAAGCAGAATTTTCTTCTAAGTCTCTAATTAGCACACCCACTCCTCACATATACGAACAGTAAAATGTCCTATTAAACAGTGGGTCATCCACCAACATGTGTAGAGCCCAGCAGGATTTCAGCACAAAATTTTACTTTGCCAAGAAATTACCCCCATAAAATTGTCTCAGGACTTTAACACCTACGGTGATAATACTAAGATCAGTAATAAGGGAATTTTCAAAAGTTACATTAAGCCTTGAAAAGCTATTCATAACTGAAAAACATAAGAACGATATTAATGTAACAAACCATCTTCCATGACAGACAAGCAAGGAATGAATTAGAGAAGCAAATCTGGGGTACAAGTCAAGTCGCGAGGAGGAGGAAAGGGAAAGGTGATTCACCTTTCCATAAAGCAGTCTTCCCGTGCCTTTAGATTGAAGAAGATCATGTCACCTTCAATGCACACACAAGAGTAATTGCCTGTTGTCAGAGAAATGTATCCTGGCTTCTTAGAAATTATAGGCCATAACTATGTCACATCAACCAAATTTATTTTAACAGATAGTCCACTTGCTTAGTCCATATCCCACGTTGATGGAATAAAACCCTATTATTCAGATACTTTTTTCATACTCCCAAACCTGTCTCCCCAGTCACCACCCAGATACAAAGACTTCTGCTTACCATCTGTGGCGGTAAGTTTTGTGTGTCACTTGGCTAGACTATAGGTGCCAATTAGTCAATCAAACACTAAATCTAGGTATTGCTGTGAAGGTATTTCATAAATGTGATTAAAGCCTAAAATCAGTTGACTTTAAGTAAAGGAGATTATCCTACGTAAGCAGTCAGTTGAAAAACCTTAAGAGAAACCCTGGAGAAGAAATTCAACCTAAGAAATACAGCTTTAGTTCATGCCTGAGAGCTTCAGCCTACCTTTCCCAACAACCTGTCCTGCAAATTTGGGGGCTTTGTATTTCTGTTACCTAGCCAGCCACCAACTTCAAACCAATTCTTTGCAATGAATCTCTTAGGGACACATACACACAGACACACAGACAGACAGACAGACACACACACACACACACACACCCCTGCATGTGCATGTGTTTGTATGTACATGTACAGTATGTACATATACGCATGTAATCCTGCTGGTTCTATTTCTCTGATTGAACCACGACAGATATACCATCTCAGACAAAACTAAGTACATGTTCTGGAGATAACTGAGCTGGTTTTGATGATACCAGCGTGGTAATATCTAGCTTGTAGGAAATATCCTCAGAATAACTATTCCATAAGCAAAAATAAGGTTACCGTTAAAAAAAAGAAAAGAAGCCCCAGTAAACGGACTATTATTCTGCATGCCTAAAGACCTCACAGGCAGGCCTCCAATCCAGACCACTTAGACCAAAAACCCTCTTTAACATTGTCAGGAATGCAGTGACAATTAGCGTGCAATAACACTAAATCAGACACACAGGACAAAAGAGAACCTGCCTGGAATATGGTTCTAAATGGCCTCACCATGGAATCTAGAATGGGGGACCGCACTTAAGATGAAATATGAGACAACCTACCAATAGCTCATTCATGCTTCAGATTTTACTCAGATCTGGCCTTTTAATTTCTGGTCCAGCACTTTTGAATGTATTTTTAAAGTGGAAGAACTGTTTCTACAACTAAATTTGATCACACAAAACAAAGTTTACAGTGGAATAAAATAGCTAAATAGAGAATAGGCACACCAAAAAATTGCCAGTATTCCTCTCTGGGGTATATGCTTAATCTTTTCATTACGTTTTACCACTGAAAAAAAACCCACTGATATAAATGAACAGAAAGAAATCAAGCAATAAAAACCGTGTTAACATTTCCATGGCATTTGGTAACCTAAAATTTGGCCTGTGGCTATTTCTATGAAAACCTTGCTGATTTTCTTCAAAATCTACAGGTACTTCATTCAATGTAGTAGATTTTTTTCCTCTTTAACCTTTTCTATCAGCATCTGTCTAAAATTCAGAATGACCAGTTAGGACAAGAGATAATTTGTTGCTCATTCCAGGAAGGATAGGGTCAGAATGGTTGTCAGAACTCTCAGAACATCAGCCATTTGTGTAAATCAGAAGCCAGACACTTGGGCTTTTGGGAAATGGGGCCATTAGCTTTAGGATTAAACAAGCTCTTCTCAGGGAATCAACAGCTATTAACTTTCATTAGCTAACATTTGCCCTCTCAATGGAGAGAAAGGAATGCTGTGATGTAACATCAGAGAAAGAGAAAAGCCAAGAGAGGGGGTGGGGAAATGACAGTGTCAGCGCCCACTGAGGTTGTGGTTTGGTTATATAAGCCCTTTATTTATTAATTTACCTTGGGCTAAAAAGAATGGCAATAAAAGACATTATGTTGGCTTACGTCGGTAAGTCAAACTACATGACAAATAGCAAGTTATTCCTACTGAAAATTTGGGCTCTTTTTGGTAATTCTACCTTTTTAATCCTTTATTCTGTCTGCTAGTCCTGTGCTCATCCTCAAATCAAAATTTCTTCTCTTTTATCTTCTCTCAATGTGTGCACCCTCATTTCTCTCTGCCTGGGTTTGAAAACATGGACCATCTATTGCTATGCCCCCATTTGACTGAGCACATTCCCAAAAGGAAAGAAAGAAGGGTTAGAGAGCTCAGGTAACTGAGACCAGGTCATGAAGGTGGATGGCATAACATTTTCTCTTGCCTTTTTTTTTTTTTTTAACCAAATACACTTCACAGACCATTCCCTGTTACAAAGGCTGTGTCTACTCAGGGCTCCAGGCATAAAAGAGTCAGACAGATACCTTGACCTTTGCTTGGGAAAGCACAAAGGAATAGCATACTGTTCTGTTTGCATCCTCTCTCCAGGTTACTTTGGGTCTATGTTAGGGAGGAACAAGGCCCTGTAACAAGGTCTGCCCACCATCCCGAGCTGGCCACCCTACTTTTGAGTATCCCCTCCCCTTTGTGAAGGGTAAACTCCAGATGACGATGCTGGAGAATGACAGAAGACTCTCTGCTTACCCAGTAATTCTCATGCAGGTGGGTGTGTCAGAAACTACAAAGACTGAGGGTAAGGATTCAGGGGCATGTGGTGTTTGAAAAAGGTTATTTAACATTATTACACTGCATATTTTTTATTTGGCAGATGAAAATACCTATTCCTTTCATAATATAAACTAATTAGAAGAAAAGCTTCAAAATATCTTCTGGAGTTATATAGACATATGGAAAACTTATTGTATGATTCTAAATGGGATAAATGGCACAGACTCTCAATGTCAGTGGACAGGTATGTGAAAATTTTGTATTTATCAAAAGGAAACAAGATTTGATAAAGCTCAATAAATACCATTCTACATTTAGGAAGAAGTGGCCAGTACAGAAGAAAGGGCTCCCACAAACTAGTATCAAGATGTGTTCTCTTCTCATCCATTCTGTCTCTCAACCTCCGGCATGGCAGTGCCCTTGGGAGGTTTAAAGCAGCCCCTTTGCTCCATCCCACGTGCTGCATCCTGTCTCATTTTCTTCTCCTCTCTGGATTCTCAGACACAGAGTGCGGAGGATGACTAACTCAGATGCACTCTTACCATTGGTCATCCCTGGTCTAGAGAAAGGGTGTGAGGCAAAGGATACCTTCGCAGGCAGACACTTCCGTGCCATCTTCTTCGTGCATCGACAGCAAACGGCTGAATTTCGGTTTCTGCTCCAATCCTGTCTGCTTTCCTTTCTCAGATGTCACTGAACGGAAACTCTGGGACTGGGACACGGAAATCTCAAATTGTTTGATCACCTCCTCATCACTGTCAGAAGATGTGGACAGCTCTTCATCATCACCAAAGCTGTTGACTGGAAGTAACCAAGAGCCATGAGTCTCCTGTGTGGCCTATGTGCCTGAATACAGAGGTAGACTCTCCAGGGAAACAGAAGAGAAGAACATGGACAATGAGTTTGAATGAAGGCACGCTAGAACTGGATAGAAAAAAGTTTAAAACACTTTGCAACACAAATTTGAGTCCAAAGAAAAGAATGCTCATGAAGTAAGTAGAAATACAGTGTATATATATATATATATATCCCAAGAGAAATCATTGGGACACCCATAATCATCATAACAAGCCCTCATGTTGAGCCAGGAAGCCCTGCTGATTTGTAATGTTCCTGAAATGTGTTCATATCTGGAAACAGAACGTGTATCAGCTCATTTGCCTTCTATGCAGTTCTAGTCAATGATCTCAGGACATATGCTCTTCATCTCATCTCATTTGTTAAAACACACGTAGCTAATCCCCACTTTGGAGAAGAAATATCTACACCATGATTTTCCAAAACCTTTCTAGTTTTGAAAAGAGACTCTACCAGCCACAGTGGCTCACTGAAATCCCAGCACTTTGGGAGCTAAGGTGTGCGAATCACTTGGATCAGAAGTTCCAGACCAGCCTGGACAACATGGGGAAACCCTGTCTCTACAAAAAATACAAAAATTAGCCAGGCACAGTGTCAGGTGTCTGTAACCCCAGCTACTCGGAAGGCTGAGGCAGGAAAATCGCTTGAACTCAGGAAGTGGAGGTGACAGTGAGCTGGGTTTGCACCACTGTACTCCAGCCTCAGTGACAGAGTGAGACTCCATCTCAAAAAAAGAAAAAGAGACTCATTGTGTGTGTGTGTGTGTGTGTGCACGCGCGCGCACGTGCGCGTGTGTGTAACTCATTTAGAAATTTTCTCAGCATCAACAACCCAAATATCCCTTGAATTACTGGTTTTTAAAAATAAGTTGTATTTTATATATATTTGAGGTTTATAACATGATGGTATGGGATACATACAGATAATAAAATGGTTCCTATAGTGAAGCAAATTAACCTATCTATCACCTCACATAGTTACTTTTTGGTGAAACAATAGCAGCTGAAATCTACTTATGCAACCAAAGTCCCTAATGAAATAGTTTTGTTAACTATAATCCACATCTTATAGGTTAGATCTGTAGACTTGTTCATCTTGCAAATTTGCTTTGTATACTTTGACGTGCATCCCTATTCCTGGCCCCTACCCCTTGGTAACAGTTTTATTCTGTTTCTGTATATTTGACCTTTTCTTTTTTTTTTTTAGATTACACACACAAGCAAAATCATGCAATATGTCTCTTTCTGTGTCTGGCTTATTTTATTTAGCATAATGTTCTCCTGTTCCATCCATGTTAGGGCAAATGGAAGATCTATTTTTTAAATTTTTTTTTCATTGTAAATATAAAAATCTCCTTCCTTTCTAAGGCATATTTATGTACCGCAATTTCTTCATCCATTCGTCCATTGACAGACACTGAGGTTGTTTTCACATTTTGGCTAATGTGAATAATGCTGCAGTAAATGTGCGAGTGCAGGTATCTTCACAAGGGGTGATTTTACCTCCCTTAGGCATATACCCAGAAGATAGACTTCTGGATCATATGGTAGCATATTGTTCATTTCTCTTCTCTCTTTTCTTTGAGACAGAGTCTCACTCTGTCACCCAGGCTGGAGTGCAGTGGCGCGATCTCAGCTCACTGCAACCTCCGCCTCCTGGGTTCAGGCAATTCTCCTGCCTCAGCCTCCCAAGTAGCTGGGATTACAGGTGTGCGCCACCATGCCCAGCTAATTTTTTGTATTTTTAGTAGAGACGGGGTTTCACCATGGTGACCAAGATGGTCTTGATCTCTTGACCTCCTGATCCACCCGCCTCGGCCTCCCAAGTTTTTTTTTTTTTTTTTTCCGATTTTAGTAAGACAGTTTTACCATGTTGGCCAGGCTAGTCTCAAACTCCTGACTTCAGGTGATCCACCTGCCTTGGTCTCCCAAAGTGCTGGGATTATGGGCATGAACCAACGTGCCCAGTCTATTGTTAATTTACTTAGGAACCTCTATAGTGCTTTCTATAACAGCTGCAACAGTGTACATTCCCATCAACAGTGGGCTAGAGTTCCCTTTTCTCCATACCCTCACCAACACATGTCATCTTTTGTCTTTTTGCTAATACCCCCCTAATGAAACACCTTTGAATTATTCACTTTCCCCACACCCTCGATACACCAGCACACTGGCCTCTTTCAGTTTCTCCAACAGGCCGAGGCTGTGCCTGCTGTCGAGCTCTCTGACTTTGTTGTTCCTTCTGCCTCCCCGAGTGTTTGCATGTCTGGCTCCTTCACATTGCAGGTCTCAGCCTGACTGGCACTTCATTGTACAGTCCTCCCTGAACATTCTCCCTTAAGCAGCTGTCTTCATAGCACTAAGCTTCATTCAGTTCTCTGTTCTCCCCTATAACCTCCATGAAAATAAGGATATTACTTATTTTGTTAACTGATGTCTCTTAAGATGTAAAACAATGCCTGTTGCACAGTTAGTAGTTCCTAAACACTTGTTAAATATTGAATGAATTGGTGAATACCCGGTGTTCTAAGCTTGAGTGTGTATGCATGTGTGTGTGCGCGCACACACACACACGTTCCCTGTGCTTGGAATACTCTTCTCCAGCCCCTATATAGACTAATCAGAAATCTAATTCATCACTGAGGTCTCAACCTAGACATCACTTCTTCCAGAAAGTCCTTCCCTGACCTCTTACATCAGGTTAAGGGCTCCTTGCATGTGCTGTAAAACAATTTTCTGTTCTCTCTTGTCAGTGCTCCCTCCCATGCCAGGCAGCATTACCTATCTAACTACAAATTACCACACCTAACCTGCACATACCATGCAGGTGAGGAGCACATCAGACTCCCCACCTTTGTATCCAGGCCCTGTCTCCAGGCCAGGCACACAGCAGACTACTCTATAAATATTTGCTAAATGTGAATTGGAAACTATAAATAATGGGGAATAATTTTTTAATCATTTTATATGCCAAAGTCTCATAGTGATTCCAGAAAAGAATATAATTGTTCATTCACAAATGGGTCCTGAAGATGACTTCTAAATCAGAAGCCAGGAAGGAATAAAAAGCCATATTTCAAGTGAAAGAAAATACTTTTCAACAACAGCCTGGTCAAAACACATATTCTCTGGCTTGTCTAAAAGCTGACATTCCTGAGGTTCTTTAAAAGACTAGCAATAACATACTTACTGAGTGCTCGTTATGTGCCAGGCACTGTCATAAGTGCCTTACACACAAAACCGCTACAATTATTTCCATTTTTCCAAGTAAGACAATTGAGGCAGAGAGAAGTACACAGCTGGCAGAAGATCACACTGCCAATAAAGAGCAGAACCAATTTCTGATTCAAAGAAGCCAGTCTCTAGCACCCATACTTCTAATCATAGTGCTGGAGAATCAGAGAGAGGTGGTGGAAAGAACTCTCACTCTGTGTACTCAAATCAACTAGAGGACCGCCTGTGGCCAAGTCTCTTAATCTCTTTTATGCCTTGTTTTTGAATCATTTTAAAGGTCTAGAAAGCTCTTTTCTAGCTCTAAAATTCTCCAACTTTAAACTTCCTGCTGGACACGCATCAACATTCAATTTGTTTTCACTGATCTTCTCTTTTATGGAGCAGCTTCTCCAAGAATGTAAGAGTACATCTTTGTCATCTCACTTAATTCTACTGGCTGCATCTAGCACCACAGTAGGACCTGAAAACCTAAGTGTCAGAAGAGACTAGATTTCCCAGCATTACTCCAATAAGCTATTCAAATACTACCCCACCAGAAAACAACCATAATGAGCAGTCTCTTCATGCCTCCATGTGCTGGGCATAGCACTCTAGGGTGGGATGGATCACTGCCTATAAGAGAGATCCAGGGACACCAGGAACAAAATGGAACTACTTTTACCTTTAGAGTACAGGACCAGCTAAGTACCTGGGGAGATACATGCACGTGAGGAGTGTTTGGATTAGACATCAATCGGAGTGCTTTCCAACTCTGAGATTCCATTTTAATTTATATTTCTAGGCCAATAAAATTTAAGTATTCATAAGTCATCCATTTCAAATGAGTTAGCCAATGCACGAATATTTCTCCATCTATAAAATTAATAATTGCAACTAATATATTAATAGATGGTCCTTGATTTTTTTCCAGTGAGCCACTAATCATCCACAGAGCAAAAATTCTCCTTGCCTGATATAATAATCATACAGTAGTTGTAACATTTCCCATATACTAAATATACATGCCAGCTACCTTCTTGGGACTTTGCATCTATCTATTCCATGAAGTAGGAATTATAATTCTGATCATGAAGTAGGAATCATAATTCTGATTATATAAATAGTAAAAAAAAAGGCAGAGAAAAGTAACTTGTCATAAGGCAACAAATTTCAGAAATTACCAAAGTTGGGACTTGAGCATAGCATCGATGTCCCTAACCACTGTGCATATCAACAGATTTCATTGCATTAGGAAGCTAGAGCCCTATCTAGCTTACTCTTCATAGTAAGGTTTTACAGGGGGCTCTCCTGCTTCCACCCTGAAACTTGCCAAGAGTCTGTTTTCTTTGTGATGGATGAAGGAAGAGCAGAGCAGTGAGAAGGGCAGTAGTAGTGTGGATGTGAGTGCATAGAGGCTTATTGCTCCTTGCGGGCTTATAAATACATCTGCACGTGCTATTCTAAGTCTCACTCCCCAAGGACCTCAGGGAATTCTCAGTCTAAAAAAGAAACCTGCGATGTCTTCCAAAGGCCACTGAGCAGCAATTGAAGTCAATGGTGGCACTGTTACAGGAATAAAAGCAATCCTTTATGTAGCATTTATCACATGCCAGGCATTGTTCTACTGCCCTGACATGTGTTAACTTATTTACCCCTCACAACAACCCAGGGAAGTAGGTACTATTATTATCCTCAGACTATGAATGAAGAAACTAAGGCACAATGAGGTTA